TGAATTCTGTAGTGTACCGCTGAGATGTGTCTTAGCAGAACCATGGTTACACAAATACAGAAATAATATTATAAAAGTCACTATATACAACAATATTATATCTGAATTTTTCTACTTTATACAGAAGCATAAAAATAGTATTGAATTGTCCTTGTAGTTGTGGTGAACAACTTGGAGCTTCTCCATTTAAATTTTATATATGGTTCCAGGAAAACATATCAGCTAAACAACTGCGATAGTAATTGTTCTAAGGTGTCAGTAAGGGAGGGGTGGGGGTTGTATGTGTGTGTGGTAGTGGTGGTGGGAGAGAACATGTTTTATTAGCATCCCTCTTTTGCCCTCCCATCCCCCAATATTAAGGTACAGGTTTATTTCTGTGGGGTGCCTCTTACACACAACGCTTTCTCTGTTTTAGAGCAAGGTTCCCAGTCCTTGGATGGGAGAGGGTTCTGGCCAGCCAGAGTTACTGTGCAGACCTCTCAAATCAAGTGGGTTTTGACTTTAGACAGGACAGCAGGTAGAGTCAAGACTAGGCCTGGAAATCCTCACCATGGCCACAGAATATAAATCGCTTAAGAGTTTTGAATTCATAGGTGCTGATGTCTGAGCTCATGCTGCCACAACTGTGCAGTTGCTGCGTTAAGAGGACCTTCTTCTTAGCTGCTTGTGCTAACACTAGCGCTTGAGTATGAGTCCAGGTGCTGCAGGGGTTGATTTGCTAAGCTCACCAGAGGATGCTCCGCTGTGGAGGTGTTATCTTTTGGCTATCGTGTAACACTGTAAGGCCAGGCTGCTGATAGTGAGAAAAGATAGAAAGCCCAGTGCATCAGCTGTGCGAGCAGCACATAGTTCACAGCGTTTCACAGTGTAAAATGTCTCTTTCCTCCAAGTTGGAGGGATGCTGGCCAAATGCATTCATCTGCTTACATCCTGGATTCATTAATCGTGCTGTCCTTTGAGGTTTAGCAGATGCCAAGCAGCTGCTGCAAGGCCTTCCCTCCCTCAGCAACTTCTACAGCTGTGTGCTAGAACAGAGCAGGAGCCCTGTACTGAATTGTTACATGCTTTATCTATCCCCTTCAGCTCCACTGCAGCTGAGAAATTTTAGGTGCAGTGAAGTGGAATTTGTGTCGCAAGTGAGACCTCGGCCGAGCCTGCTGTGCCTGAATGTGGAGGAAGTGGAACAAGAAGCCTTAAGCTATCTGAACAATCAGAGGATTAGGAGGACATCTAGTCACTGCCGAGTGGGAGCCACTGCTTAACATCTCTCCTAGTGGGAGAGGAATTATGGAAATACCTGCTGGGATTGGGAGCTTTGTTTTTTAATCTTTCCAGTGGGAGCAGGGGCCTGTGAGCACAGGGTGAAGGGTGCAATCAAGAAGTTGCTGTGATTTGTGGAATTCCTGAATGGTCATTCTGGACCATTGCCACCAGCGATACCGGGCTACGTTTTGGAAGAGAGATGTTCAATGCTTCCTACATGATAGAGGTTGCTTTGGGCCTAGGACACACAATGTGTGTATTTTACGCCGTAGTATCTACTAAATAAAGCTATTAAAATACAGTTTAAATAACACCGTATCTATTTTAATATTAGAGTTTTCTTGCTATATGGGGAATGAGGCAGAACATAGATCCTTGGCTTATGAGCCAGAGCCAGGCATTTTGCAGATCATTCACTGTCTTCATGCGAAACTGTACATTTGCCACAAAGGATAGTCTTCTTAACCCAACTGAAATTATTAAAGTGATGTTTTTAAAGTATTTCCTTCCTCTAAGAAGAGAAGGGAAGTGAGTAAGTTACTGTTTGGAAACTAAATTATGGTACTAAATGGACTATACAGGTATTGTTTTGCAGCTTAGTGGCCTGAACATTACATGGGGCTGGTAACAAGAGGAAGGCAGTGAGCTGTGGTACAAATTCACAACATGCTTGCCTGTCTGTTCCTGTTAAGGAAGGGGATGACTGTGCCAGTATCCATGGTGGCACAGCAGTCCAACCAGTACAACATGTGGGAGATCACCATTTGAAGAGATTCTTCTCTCGTCTGCTTGCAGTGATGACCAAGTGTTCTGCACTTGCTTTTGGCAAAATAACATCCAGATCCTTCATCTTGTGCTATAGGTTAGTAAATTCCATACACAGTTACTTCCCCGTCTTATTCCGTGTGCAGACAGCGTGTTTGAACAGCTACTCTGTTTTGGGTTTTGTTTGTTCAGTGTTTCCCCCTGCCTTTCCCCTTTCCCCCTTAGTCTGAGCCTTACATTAAGCTTCAGGTGGTGGGTTTATTGAGCACGTGTAAAGTATCTCCCCTCTCAAAGCCTGCTGGATGCTTCTAAGACCAAAACATGAGTGGCACAAGACCCGACAGATGCCACCATTCAACAAAGTTCTGAGACTCGATCCTTAGGAAGGTTGCCAAAACAGCTTAAAGCAAAGGTCTACACAAGTTTTGCTGTGACAGTCTTTTTTTCTGTAGGTGCTTTCTGTGAAGCGGTAACGATTTTGCTGAAGTTTGCCCCCCACCCTCCCCAAAGAAAACAAAACAAAAAAAAAGCAAACAAAAAAACCCTCTCAGCCTGAGGAAAATGTTGACTGTAAGTGATGTAAATTAAGAGATCAAAATCTGATTTAAAAATGCAACTGAAGGTAGTCCTGTAATATGAATAACATAGTAACAGACAATGCTAGAGAAATAGATAGGAAATGCCAGATAAGAGACTTACTTAAAAACAAAAAAGGCAAATTTGTCTTTATAGTTGTAACTATGTTTAATAACTGTTTTTACTTCTGAATTTGAACTTTCCAGTAGTATCTTACTAGTCTCCCTCTTTTCCTCCTCATTATGTATGTTATTCTTCTGTCTGCTGCCACACTTATACTACCCACCTGTTCCTCTTTTATTTCACATTACAAATGCACTCATCAGTCCTCATATAAGCTGTTCGCCTTGGCCAGGTTGAAGACCTAACACTTATTCCAAGCCTGTTGGCTATTTTCTAATCCATTAGTGTTTTGCCATTCCCCCTTTTTCAGAAGGGGAGTTTGATTATAGTCTTCTGAGAAGACTGAATAGATAAACTGGCTCTCTTATTTACAGTTTTATTAGTACATTCAGAGAATCACAAGACATGAGATGGATGAATCAAATCTGTTCGGGGGGAATTAGGATTTGCTTGGTTCTAGAACTCTGAGTTTGAACGACCAGTTCTCAGAGTATTGCAGGAAACCCTTTTCCTGTCTGTCTCTGAGCTTCTGCCTGTGATCAGAGTTCTGGTCACTTAGTTACTTCAGACAAGAGAACACATCTCGTTCCTGTGATCAGAGTTTTTTCTTTATTTATGCAACTCTCCTTATCATATTCCTCGCTCTCTTTCTGAAGCCAAACAAAGTATCCTGTTGTTGTCATAAAAATAAGAAATAATAATACAAGAGATAAATCAGCTGGCTTCATGTTCATGCTACTACATGCTCTGGAACTGGGAGGAGCCCTTAAAGTTCTCAGCCCAAGAGGGAGGGCTGAGATACTGCCATCAGGGTAGCTGTGTAGGTGTTCTGCATGGAAAGACAGAGATGTTCCTTTTAGCTGATTTTCTGTAGTCTCCACTTCATCACCTAGTTTACTTCTAGAGCCTACCACCCAAAGCCAAAGCTGATGAATACTAAAGGCTTTGTCCTATGCTTTGACTGTCTACAGCCCTCCTTATTCCAGGTCTAGGTGGGATTGCTCAGGCTGGCAGCTCCCTCTAGCCCTCTTCAAGGTATCCCTACTAGGTACTATTTACTGAAGGTGCTGCACTGTGCAGTGGAGTTTTCTGAGTAAAGCAGGTGCAAGCAAGGCTTGTACTGCAGCAGGCCTCATGGGGAGGGAGAGGAAACAGCCCACACTGCTTTGCAGCCATGAACTGCAGCCAAGGTACAACGACTGTGCAGAGCAGCAAGCAAGACGTCTATCTTTCGAGTCAGAGAGAAGGTTGAGGAGGAAAGGAAAAGAGAATGAGGGGCTGAGTAAGAGATGATAGTCAACAGTGTAAGAGAAGAATCTCTAAAGTTGCGGAAAGTGATGGGAGAAGCCAGCAGGGAGCCTGTGGGAGGGACAAGCCATGCGTCCTACCTAAAGGTGGGGATGGGGGAAGGATGGGCACAGGGCAAAGACATGTCCTCCCATTCTGGCAGGCTTGAGATAGGTCTGCTGCTGTAACAAAACCCAAAAAGAGGGTCTGCATATGCTTATGCCGAGCATATACGCTTATGATTTTCCCTTTCCAGGCTTACCTCCAGGTCCAGCAGTGTTTCTGATTGTTTTATACAGGCTTTATATCGACAGCAGATACAGGGGAAGCAGAAGCATCCATTGACAGGCTGGAAGGGAGGATGACACTGACTCTGCATTCAGGTTCACCAGCTGCAAGTTGGTCCCCCGTGTAATGCTGAAATCTGTAGCAGAAGAATAGTGGAATGAATGGGGAACACAGCAGGGAAGGCAAAACGAGTATGTATATTTATTTCTCCCTATTTTTCTGAATACTGGTAAAGATAGACCCTGCCTCTTGTGCTGGAGACCCGCTGCTGTGAAGCCCTCGCTGTAGAAGAGCTATGACCCTTCTCACATAGAACAGGAAAAGATATCCAGGTTTTTTGGAAAGTTTGCTTTCCTGTGAACAAGGTGTCCTTTCAAATAAAGGGGGTGGGCTGGAGTCAGAGACATTGTCATTAGTAACAGCTAAAGGGGCCTGCTGGTTTGGTACACAAATGGGATCTAAGCTGTACTGGCTAAAGGAAGTGTCAAAAGTTGGGGGTTTTGGTTGATTGGTTTCGTTTTGGTTAACATTCAAAGGAATACATTATTTTTGAGTGTGTCCTTCCTTCCTTCCTGTTCCCTGGCAGTTCTGTCCCCAAGCCAAGGGAGCAATCGTTACCATGAAAAACATCTGAAATAGCAGGACCAAACACATCATCCCAGAGACAGAGAGAGAGGTGCTTGGATTAGCCCCGGATTTCAGTTCCTTCCTTGACCGACATGGGTGCTGCAGGTGCCCCCTGACGCACACAGGCGCACTGTTTAAACTCTCTTCTCCCCCACACCCGTGCTCTCTGGGTGGTGTTAAACTCTACCTGTCACTTTGATGTTGCCCGTAGCCTTGGCAATGTTGTTTTCAATCACGCAGGTGTAGGTGGCGTTAGGAATAATGTTGTGCAGAAAGGAAACCACTTTCAGAGTGATGTTTTCGGCGTTCAGCTCATAGCTGGTGTTGGCAACGTGAGGTAGGTACTCCCCGGCGTTGCTGTAGGCTGTCCAGCGCACGACGGGTCGAGGGAACCAGCGTGGTGCTTCGCACTGCAACGTGTCCCCACTGCTGCTGTTCTCCATGTGGACCTTGGGGGTGCTGAAGGCTTTGGGAGGGAAAACCGGGAGAGAGTCAGAAAACAGCAAATGTCTAGGAACTGGGCGTGAAACACCCAACTGATGTGCGGGTCAGTCCCAAGTATTTCTAGAGCACTTGCTGCTCAGCATCACACGTAGCCAAACCAAACACAGAGGCTCAGACAGAGGTCTGTATAGGTTGTACTACAGGGGGATGCCTACAGGGGATCTAAAGACTCCTAGGACAAGGCAGTCCAGTTTGACAAGATCTGCTACGGTCATGGCGGAGCTTTAGTGTCTTTAAGTAATTCTGCTTAACAGTTATGAGCTGGGTCTCGGGCTCGTAAACTAGGCGTTTCCCAAGAGCTCCTGGACATCCAAGCTCCCAGAGGAGACTGGCCGGCCTGAGGCTGCCCGTGTCTGCCAAACGCCCGGCTGCCCCGGGTAGGAACTGCAGCCGGCACAGCTCACCTCTGCTGAAGGCGGGTGGCTGAAAGGAGGCACCTGCTATTCTTGGCAGAGAGTGGCATGCCAAAAATCATTGCTCTTATCAGAGGCTGGGGGAAGGGGAAGATGATTCACACTCTCCACTGACTGAGAAGGGAGCCTGACCAACACCTATGGCTTCGTGATGTGACTCTGGTGCTAAATGGGGCTGCAGCTAAGGGAAACTCCTTGGATGAGGCTGAGAGCAGATTAAGGTGTGGCCTGAGCTGCAGGATTTACGCCAACATCCCTGGATTAAATGAAATGTTTAAAGCCCAATGCAAACTCAGCTGTGTTTTAAAGCCAAAGCCATCTCAAATAAAACTCTTGTTCTCCTAGAAAAATATACCTTTGTATATTCACTGTATTTCCCACATGCACATAGGTGAAGAGGAACAGCAGCTTTTTAGGAGAGCAGAGTTCACTGACTACAATAGAGATAAAACCTAATAAAGCATTTCATGTGTTCTTTCTAATGCCTTTTCTGTGTGGGTTACCTTAAACATAAAATCAAGCAACACAGAAGCAGGCAGATTCACAAGGTTTCAAGGAGGGGTAGGAGACCAAGTCCCCATGGGACTTAAGCACGCCTCAGACATGAGCCAAAGCCCTCTGGCCTTGCTGTTACCTACTGTAGTCCCAAGCAGTTCTTCCATCCTTGCCATTGCAAGATAAGGGGCCTGTGAGCCCAGCAGCCTTTTTTTCACTGCTGGGGGAAGAGCTTCACATAGCAACAGGGCAGAAAACACGCTTTCAGTAAGAAATGGGGCTGTGTGAAACGACACTGGCCAGGTGTTCCTGCAACACCAAGTCTCATATTGCCTTTCTGTCCCAAGACAGACTCCCCATGAGTGACGTGGGGGAAGTGTCTGCGTCTCCAAGACATCTGTCACAAGCTTCTGCACAGAAGCTGGTGCCCACCTCCCAGTGCCCACCTCCTGGTGCTTTGACTCTGCTGGGCCAAAGGAGGAGACCGGACCTGCAGAAAAGCAGCCTGTCTCATTCAAGAGCTCTGCTGGTTACAACTGTCCTGCCATGACTGGCCTGAAGCACAGAGGAACCCCCGGTGCTGCTGGTACATCTGGCCTCACTATATAAGCAGTCCCCATCCTAAAACTGCATTACCTTGACTCGGAGACATCTGACAATTCTCCTCTCCCAATTTGAGCCTATTCAATAGGCTATAATTTTTACTATGCGGCATGGCATAGTATCTCCTGGCCTGAGATATATCTTAATCTAGAGAGAAAAAGCTATCATTTTGTCTTTAACAGGTATAAAATCTGAATCCTTATAAGATCAATTAGCTACTCCCATTCTTAGGGGCTCTTCATAGTCAGTTAAGTATCTGGTAGACTACATGTGGTAAATAGAAGAAAAAAGACAACTAAGTGCATTAAAATAACAATCTGTTCTGAAATGAGGATGTGGAAAGAGCGGGTAAGGCCATAAACACCTCTGGATAAGCCACAAATACCTTAGTCCTACTCAGGGGTGCAGGGCTTGATGGCGGCTGCTGGAGGAGCGGGCGCCGCTCACACAGACTCCAGCACTGGCGTAGCTGCAGGTAGGTCTGACCCAGCCATGTTAGCCTGCGTTTTCCAGCAGGATTTTCTTTCTCGCACCGCTCACCTCCCGTCCTGTACCGCAGCACTGCCGCTCCGCTCCCTCTGGCCGTGGTGACGGAGCACTGGTAGGTGCCGGCGTCGGAGAGCTGCACGTCCCTCAGCTCCAGGGAAGCATTGCCGCCGATCACCTGGTCCGCGAACACTGCCGTGCGGCCCTGAAACGACGCGTCTTGCTCTTGCAGGTGGTCCTTCCCACCTTTAAACTCGTGAACCAGCCCGGCTACTCCCGCCTTGGCCCACCGGATCACTATGCTGCCCATCCGGATGTCGGGCTCGAAAGTGCAGCCCAGGACGCCGCGCTGGCCGATGTTCCCTGGAGACGTCAGCGCCTTCACGCTGATGGAGCGTTTTCCTACAAGGAGAAAGCAAGTCGGTGTGAAAAAGGCCAGACCGCCCTGTGGCTGTCATGCACCAACCCCGAGGCTGACCGGGCACTGGCGTATCGCAAGGACACCAGTAGCAGCTACCAGTGCTGCTAGCAGAGGTCAACTCCCATGGCTTATATACCAAGATAAAGCACAGGAGCATTTCTTTAGCAGGCAGTCTGCTTCAAAAAGTAGCTCCTCTTATTTGTTTGAGAAGAATTCACATGGTGTTTTCGTGCTTACTTATATGTATCAGGAATTTTCTCTTTGCTGCTGCCAGAAGAGCGTGATTTTTGTGTCTTTTCTTAGTTGGGACCTCCCTTTATGCAATATAAATGTGATTGCAAGGCATAATGCTGGCAGAGAAATAAGAGGCTGCTCTTTCACCCTTACTGGAACCCAAACTGTTTTCTTTCATTTAAGAAAAATCAGCATTTCCCTTCCCTGGGGACACAGATTGCTTCTCAAGACAAATCCTAACCAGCGAGCTTGAGAATTAGCTCCTTCCCGGAGCCAGGTCCTCTTTCCCGTGCAGCCCTTCCCTCAGCGCCCCAAGGAGGCCGCATTTTGGCCAACACCAAAGCAACACATTTTTGTCGTCTCTGAGGAAGCAGGGGAATGTGCCCCGTCCTGGCAGATACTGCCTGACTTTGCAATAAATACCATCGTCTCCTTCTATCTGGGAGAATGAGCACAGTACATGCACATACTTTTTGCATGGGTAGGTTTAGGGATTCAAGCCCAAGGAAATTTCAGGTAGCAGCACAGGTTGTGCTACACTTTTTGACCCCTTGCCTCAGCCGGCTTCCCATGGAGCAACAGATGGAGTTGAACGTTTCGGTTGCTAACGCACCGGATGATAACTAAAAAAAACAAACGGAAAAAAGCCTTAATTTCTGCTGTGAAAGCATAGGTCAGGCATTCACTTCCCGGGGCAAAACGGAGCTGCCCCGCAGTGCCGGGGCTCACACGTGCACAGCCGGTGCTGCAGCCCAGCCTGGCCCGCTGACACATTTTCACAGAAATTAAGAGCCGACACAGATTTCCTCACTCGGCTCTGAGTGCCAAGTGCTGGTGTCTTCTAATCCACCCTGAGCACGCGTGTGTGTGTGTGTGTATCTCTGCATTATTTAAAACCTACAAGAGCTCACAGTCTCCAAGGAGAGCACAGCTCCTTGTAGTTTAATGCCATGGAGCGATACCTTGTTGAGAAAGGCCAGAACTGAAGTTGTCTGTGCAGTCTTAATTCAGCCATCTGCTACATAAGCTTTATAAAGCAAGCCTTCATTAAAAGGCTATAGGTGGTACTTCCACACAAGTTCACACCTCAGCCCATGCACAGGAAGGAGACACGGAGGTAGCAGCAGGGCAGAAGTTCATCACCCTGCTGGTAACAGTAAGAAATCTGAGCAGTCACATACCTGAGACACCAAACCCGATGATCAGGGCAATCACCGCAGCCAGGATGATAATGACAGTAGTCATGCTATTTGGGGAAAAAAGAAAGGACAACATCACCGCGCAGCCCACCTCCTTTCACGCCCTACATCCGCGGTGCACGTCTGCAGAGCTGCCGGCAGGAAGGAGGTCGAGGTGGGTAAGCCACAGACCTAGAGCAAGGTGGACTAGTGAAGCACATGACCACAGTAGTGATGAACATCAGGGTGAGCACTTGCCACCAAAGGTGGGGGACCATGTGGTGGGAGGAGAAGTGACCCAGGTTTTGCCTTTGGAAGGAGGCAGTGGGTCCCAGGGGAGGATGCTCCTCTCCGCATCTCCTGGTGCATAAGCGAGCCAGGCAGGCCCTGCTGGCACTTGTGAGGGACCAGTTGCCCAGGAAGGTGAGCAGAGCACTGAGACAGGCCCCTGACCCCAGGAGACACCCGGTACGAGCCAGGCAGTGGGCAGGAGGGGGCTGGAAACAGGACCAGGTCTGTGAGCTGGCTGGTTTGGGGATGCACCATGCGCAGATGAATAAGTGGCTGTCGAATGAGAAGCTGAGGAGGAGAAGACCACTTGCCAAGCTACACAAGCAGAGCAGCCCCCGCAGAGGAGACGACAGGCAGCACAGCGTGGAACAGCACAGCTTGAGCCTTGCTGAGTGCAACCCATCTCTGGCACAGCCCCGGCTCAGACAGACCTGTAAGTGTGGCCTCGTGCAGGTTCCCACTGCAGTCGGTGGAGCTGTCACACATGGTCCTGGGTGCAATGTCACATGGACTGAGGGTTGTGGCAGCAAACTCAGCTCCCCACTGGAGCAAGCCCTGAAGCAACTCCCCACAAAAACCCACAGGTACATCCCGGGGTGAGCAGCTCATGTGCTCATACCCGACAGTCTCACAGGCTTGCTGGGCTCAGCCCTGCTCGGGACTGCCGGAGGAGAAGCCCAGAGTGCTGCAGGAGGTCCTCACAGCAGACTTTCCTCCTTCTCCAAGCCTGGCAGGGCGCTGGAGGGAGCTGGGCTGCAGGAGGCACAGGCACTGGCCACGGCCACTGCACCAGCATCCAGAGCTGCCAGCCCAGGGCCCATTTTGCCTCGTTGTACACGGAAACTCCTGAGCTGCCTCTTCCCGTCTCATCCCCAGGCAGGACCAGGCTGCAAGATGTCAGAGCCCTCCTGCCCATGCAAAAATAGCCACACTGCCTCAGCTGTGTTCACTGGCCTGTGGCACGCTCTTTCCCAACACGTAGGGCAGCCTCCCGCACAAGAGCCCATCAGTGTCTGTACAACCGCACCACTCCTTCCGCCATTAATGCATGCCTGCATCAGTTACTTGCACAATCTCTCCTCAATCACCGCAGATGCCAGGGTTACGGGGCTGATACAGAGCTCTAAGGAGTTGCGCCATGTGAGCAAGCCCCTCCTGCAGGGAGCAGCAGGGACGGGACAGAGGGAAGATGGGTTGAAAGAGGGTATAGAGAGGAAGGGAGATATTGCAGAAGGCTTGCTTGCTCTCCCACTGTCTCCCTTCCATCCTCATCCTTAAAGCCAGCAGAAAGTTGTCTGAGGGAGCCCTGTCTGCACATGCCAGCGTGCTCAGGAGAAGGGATCAGAACGAGTGTGCCATAAGTCCATATAAAGGTTCATATGAGTCCATATATACATCCACAGGCGTACCAAGCCTTCCCTGCCTAGATGCCCTCAGAGCTGAGAGGTGTCACATGTTCGGCTTCCTCCCCATTCTCACCAGCTTTCACTCACAACCAGGGTGGACAGCAGTTCTCCGTCTGCTCCCTCCTGGTGCCCTGCAACTGCGGTCACAGCTGACCCCATCGCGGAGGAAAGCAGCGGATATCCTCCAGCCGCGGGCGTCGGGCAGCTGGGGACCCATCACCAGCCTGGGGTGCCTCCCCTGGGGGCCTGCGAGATGGGGACTTTGTTTGTTGGCTCATGCAGGTCCTGCAGCGTGACAGCTCCCGGTGGAGATTTGTCATGTCCCACAGGGCTCAACCCCAAGTCACTCGGGGTCTTGGCCAGGCTTACTGTGGGACAACCCTGTGCTTTCCAATTCCAGGGCAGATACTGAGCCTCTTGTGTATGCTGAACAATATCTACCTCCTTGAGGAACTCCACCAACTTCTATGGAGCTGATCCCAGAGCGAGATAGTTGCTATAAACTCAACAAAGGTTGCCATGATCAGCCTCAGCTCTCACGCCTGGGAAGCAGGGGCTTAGACCTACAGCACATATGCCTGAAGCAAGTGGCAGCCATGCCGTCCCACAAGGGCTGTGACTCACCCTCACACCTCTAGATTAAAATCCTCCTTCCCGAGAGTGGGCAGGGGAGAAATTGCTGGGAGCTGAGGGATGCTGCCTGCAGGTTACGGAGGATTTCATCGATAAATGCTGGAGAGGGTATGGCAGGGGACAAGCAGCCAGGTATCCCTGCTGTGCAGTCCCTGAACACTTCAGGTGCCACCAGACTTGCCCCCGGTCCTCGAAAAGACCCGCTGGCCTGAACACCACCTCTGCCCTAGCACTGTGCCAGGCAAAACCATCCTCAGCTCTCTCACAGATGAACACAAACCAGTGCCAACAGCCCAGCACCAATGCTTTTGTCCCCCGCTGGCACCACCTGCCCCTGTAGCTGCAAAGCCTTGCTAGCTTTGCATCCAGAGAGGTGCTTCCCACCCGTGGTTCAAAGCAGCAGCAGGGCTGAAGGAAAAAGCTGCTCATTTGTTACAGAGGGGATGGCAATTTTGGGTACATGGATGCCACTGACTACTTCAACACCCCTTGCCAGGGACAAGGGGAAATCAGGCTTTTTGGAGTTTCCTCCACAGAAACTGCGAGATCCAAGAATCACAGGGGCCTTAAAAATATTTGCCTGCGAGCTCCCCACGCATATTGAGGCAATCTGGAGTGCGGGGCGAACAAACAAGAGGAAGCTGGCAACCCGGCCACACGCTGACGGTAGCTGTGTTTCGCAACAGTCCAGTCCAGCAGTTCAAGCGAAAAGCAATTTTATGTGCATCACCACCCCTCATACTTCCAGCGTTTCAGAGGCATGGAAGCTGGCTGATGCAGATGGCTGGGGCTGCACAGGTCGGAGCCCTGATGTTGCTCTCGGTTCCTGGCAGCACTTTGGCAGCCTGTGGGATGCCGCTCCACATATCCTACCCTCTTTTCCCCAGTCCCTGATCAGCCAAATGGGTTTTGCCCGCAGCTCTGGGCAGCCTGAATGCTGCTGGGCACAGGGGACAGAGAGAGGCTCGCAGCCGGCGGCAGAAGCTTAATCCTCCTGATCTCTAGCTCCACGCAGAGTAAGCTTTCCCTTGGGAATGGGCTTAGAGGTGCGAGGAACAAAAAACCTGGAAGAGTAAGAGATTGAAGGTCCCCTGCCTTCCTCCTTATATCAAAACTTACTGTGGGAAAGAAATAGCATGGCAGAGGCAACCCAAAAAGAAGGGTTTTCCATTCCAGTAAGTGGTTAATGATTGCAGAGCTCAACTTTTCTCAGCGCTTCAGTTTTATTTTTTTAGTTGTTTTGTTTTGTTTTTTCCTGAAATCCAATAGAAACCTCCCACTGCTCCTCTGAAGATTCCTGGAAAATTCACCCCTCTGTCTGGGCTATTTCTGCATTTCAAGATTAGCCCGAAGAGGACAACGGCCTTGAAGAAGCCTGCTGCTTCCAGTAACCTGCTGCTGTCTGGCTGTGTGCAGCCCTCCAGGGTGGGCAGAGGCGCTGGCAGAGCCGGAGGATGGTTCTCAGAGCAGCAAAGGGTAGGCGTTCGTTTTTTCATACCCATCAGTTATTGCATTTCCCTGACAAAAGCCAGCTGGGCTGCCTCTTGAGAATAACAGAGCTGGTTATTACACGCATTCCAGACGCATGAGGAATGCGATGCCCAGTGGATATTTACACTGTGTTACATTATGTCTACTAGTGATCTCACTTTCATCGGTGAAAAGGTGCAGATAATATTACTATCTAGTTCTTCCTTGATGTTCCATGTGAGAAAGCTGGAGCACGGCTCATGTGTGAGAGGTCTCTTCTGTTCACATGTGGACTGTCCTTCTCCCCACTGTTGTTCAGCTTAGGTGGGACAGCTGAAACATTTTTGACAGAATAGCTGCAAACAGGCATGTCTTACACACCTTGCTGGAACCTTTGCCTCCATCAAGCCTGGAAGAGCCCACACCTGGGATGAAGAGACACGGCTTGTTGGTGGCTCTGTTCAAGCAGTCAGGTTTAGATGCAAGCCCGATCCATGTTCATTGGAGGCTGAAGCAAGTTTGCCAACTAGTTTAGCCATCTGGTGGGGGTTATTTTCAACTAATCAAGAGATAAGGAAATGAGGTAGATATTTTTATGGCCTTCCCCACGATACTTCTTTTTCTGACTGTAGATCACCAGGACTTGGTCAATAACTCCAAAGGAAACAGGCTCATTGAAACAAGAGGCACAAACCAGCTGGGACGTCTTCCCAGCTCTTAGTCCTGACCCACACTGCAAGGAAACTTGCTGTAGGACAGCTTTTGCCTTCCTGCCCACAGCATGCGGTGGAGATGTAAGTGACTCTCTGAGAGCCAGCAGAAGGAACGCAGAGCCTTCCTCAAGCCATTGATACCCCAACCTACAACAGCAGGAACACAGAGCCTTTCTCGAGACACTGACACTCCAACCTACCACAGCATTCAAACCTGAGGTAGCAGATTCCACCAGCCATGCACAGTTTCTAGGAAACACATCTCCATCCTGGCTACAGTTGATGACCTGCACATGGGTGTCTGACAGCTACACGGCCTTACAGATTGTATAAAAGAAGCTATACCGGTATTTAAGTGGCCTGGGTGAGTGCAGTATAGAGTCAAGCTGCAAAGAACTGCTGTCTTGAAAGCTCCTGGCAGCAGGGTGATACAGCCAAGGCGTCTGGAAAATGCAATTCCCTCCCTCCTCTCTCCCAAAGCAGATGCAGATAATACCATACCTCCAGAAAATGACCTGGCCTTGGGGTGCCATGGTCACGGCACCTACGAAGACAAGCCAAACTCCAGGTGCCCAAAGGTCCCACACTGTTCAGCACAGCCCCCGTCCTTCGCATGATATATTCTCCCGGGCTGTCCGGCTTAAATAACTGAACTCAGCTAAGGAGTGGTGAGCCCAAGCAGTGAACTCTGAGGAATGAGGAAGCAGTGAGCATCTCAGCTCCCCCCACCAGGCAAGTCAAAAGCAGGGAGGCCTGATTAGTCACTGGGGCAACAGGAGAGACCTCCTACACCACCTGTTAAAGAAACATGTCTGACATAAAACAAAAAATAACACAGCTCATGGTTTGGTAGCCAGCTAATCTTGGGGTCAGAGTGCAGCAGTCTCCCATGTAGATCCACAGCTCACTCATCACTGGTGGGTTGCGTTATATCCAGGACTAGCTCAGGTCTCCTTGCTAAAATCTCCAATCATGCTGTTGGCACTGGGCACAGAGGTCCCACCTGCGGGTCCCTTCCTGGCCCCATTCGCAATGTACATCTTCCCCTTTCTCCCTGTGCTGTGCTAAGAGGCTCCTCCAGGCTCAGCAGTGCCATCAGAGCCACGCGGGTTCGGCAGCGGCCTCTTTTCTGACTGCTGTTTTCTTCTGCTGAACTCCTCCAGACCAAACTACTTCTCCTCCCCAAGGCCAGCTCCTGCTGCTCTCAGATCTGCCATTACGGCGGACATCAGAGCATGTAAAGGAAAGAAACTGGCACAGACCCTGCAAGCCTTTCCCTCTGTGCTTGGTATCACTTGAGGCTGGGGGCAGGATGAGTCGCTCTTGGGCATAAGAGGTTGAGAAGGGCAGAGAGATTGCGAAAGAGCAGAAAAGGGAAGGCAGCTTGCACCACCGTTCCAGAAGGGGAACCTGTGATTCCTGTCATCTGCGTCTGGACTGTGTTCCAGGGAGGATGGGGAAAGGGGAATTTTTGACAGTCCATAGCCATTTCCAGCAAGTTTGGATGGTTAGTGGGAGTGAACAGCTTTCCCATGCAGAGCTGAGGGTGCCCAGAGGAACTGGGAACAGTCCAGCACCTAACAAAAACCAAATTACTTTCTCTGCAACAACCAGAGGTTAAATTCAAGACCAATTAACACTGGTCAGTGATGACCAAACCAGCTGCAAAGGCTGAGTAGGGCTCAGGAGGGCTTACGATGCTGAGGGGCACAGTAGCCTTCTAACTGTGCATGTGTGAGATTTCAGAAGCGTGCGCTTAGTCTTTTGGACCACAGTTCAACTCCAAAAGAACCTGTTCACCTCCACAAGGGATGAACATAGCCAGATGTGGTGCATGAAACGTAACAGATTTTTCTAGACAGCAGAGAGGGGGCTGGAAGGGGCTGTGGCTCTTGTACAGGCATCCAAGTCAGCAAACTGTATTCCAAGGCATTTAGCACCCAGGACTCACCACTTCCAGCCTCCTCATGCCAGGATGAAGTTACGTGTCACAGCTTGTGTTGAACCTCCTCCCACGTCCCACCACCTTGCACTGATGAGAGCACAGACCCGAACCTCTGCTAAGCCTAGTCATCTGTTAGGAGACAAAGTAAAATTAGAAAGCAAATGGTTTCCTGCCAGGTTAGGGAGTTGAATTGGCTCCCCATGTGGTCAGAGGAGAGTCACACCTAGTGATACTGCTGGTGCGGCAGGACCGCATGGCCTGCAGCAAGGACAGAGGAGCCAGGGTGGGACCTTCTTCTTTCAAGAGTGACTAGCTGTTGGGTTTACTCAGCCGTTGTGCTACCTCAATGTGAGTGCTTGACTGTGAACCTAATCGCTCTCCAGGTAGAGGAGCTACCTGAACGCCCTGTGCAAGGTCTGTGGCAGAGGTATGAACAGGACCAACTTCTAACGCTCCAATCTTGGCAGTTACTGACAGCACATCCTTCATCCTATGGCCTCTGAATGAAACTGAGGAGTGGAAATCTTTCACCTGAGAATCACTGTTGCTCTCCGGTTGTTGCAATAGTTTAAACTTATAAAGCAGACTTTATATGGTTTTCACTTCCCTTCTGCTTTAGCATGGAATAGCCCTTTTTAATCTGAAAAAAAGAAATCTGATTTATTTTGTAGTGTTCTACTGATTACCAAACCTGTCGTAATTTAGCAGAGCATTACTAGAACCTAAAAATATCTCTAGGCCATAGTGGCCTGGTGGGAAATGCAGATTAAGAAATATCCTGTTGCCCTCAGTGACACCTGATTTACAGCTGCCTTTGGTGCGGTGCAGCAGTTAACTCTGGGTCGTAGCAGCAGCACATCTCAACCACACAGTAAACGGTCGGGTTACTTCCATGTTGGAAAACCAGGTCTGTTTCTCAGGCACAGGCAGCCCTGGTAGGACCAGGGCAAGTCCCATTCACCAGGGCAACACCACATTAATTTCTGAGCAGCTCTCATGCTGGAGCCGACTCCTCTCTGTATGTTTATACTGCAAAAAAACAAGAGGTATTCAGGATATTTCTCAAAGAAATCAGATCTGTGACCACATGGTCTGCCCAGCTCTTACCACTTTTGAATCTATTAGCAAAATCCAACCAAATGTGACAGCAGGATCTGGTCCCACACAGTCTGTGAAAGCTGGTGAGCACCTGGGGAAGAGAGACATCAGCCGTCTTCACTGAGGGGAAGACAACAGCAGGCACAAAGTGTTACCAGTTTTGCTGGGCCCACCAACCAGTGCCCTACAGCTGGCCACAGCACATGCTGCCTCTTGCCTGCATGAGGGAACAGTAGGGGCAGGAAGGACTGAAGGTGTGTCAGGGCCCAAAAATATGTTCAGTGATCTGGGGGAATCACAGGCACAAGTACCAGACTGCGGTCGCTCTGCCCCTCATAACACAAACTTGTTTCTTTCTTCACAAATAATAATTCTGTCAGAAGGGTTCCTTTACTTATGGCAAGTTCATGCCTTATTTCAACGTCACTAGAAAGCTGAAGGAGCTATCAGCGAAGGAGGAGAACCAGGAGAAGATGGAGTTGTGGCAAGCTGACAAGCAGCCGAGTTTGATGTAGTGCTCAAGAGAGGTGAAGACAGCCAGCAGGCTGAAAAAGAGGAAAGCTATCCTCTTGGGATTTGGCCAAAAATGTTGGACACCTTTCCAGCCTTGTGCTCCCACATCTGTAACAATGGTGTCAAGAGGTGCTTGAGAAGCACTGGAGAGGGGAACACTAGTGGTCCCACCCGAAGGCTGGAAGGAGGAGAGCCTTTTCAGCTCTACCTGTCCTCAGTCTCGCCTGCACTTGAAGGGAAGCTGGAAGCAGCAGCACTCAGAACAAGCCCTCCTCTCTCAAAACAGGGAGGTGGTGAGCCACCCTTGGCTGGAAATAGGCAAATCCCCCTAGGCTGCCTGCGGGCCACTGCCAGGGTCTGTCTTGACATGGCACCCCAGATGGTCAGTGCACCCTTGTGAATGACATCCTGCCGTGGGAAGGCCAAGAAGCCCTGCTGAGCCAGCTTCTACACGGCTCCTGCAGTCTTCTGGGGACAAACTAGACACTCATGCACAGAGCTACAAGCGCAGCCATGTCACCAGTGTGATTTGCCTCCTCTGAGAAGGGATAGATATCCTAGCATGATACCTGACCCTAGAGGCATCCTACGTGGAGCCTTCCCTCTGCAGGGCCTCTTCCAGGTCTTCCACAGTCTCTTCTTCTTGCTGTGTTTTTCCTTCCAGCTACGTTCTGTTTTCCCTATCCAGGAAGTAAGTCCTCCTTATCTTGCCTCCCAAAGCCCGTATGCATGTTTATCACCATTTATTTTCTTTTTTTTTTTTTTTTTTCTGCAAACTTTGGAGACAGGCAATTTTATGAGCAAGGGCTTTTGTCCTGGGAGAAACATGCATATTTACCGGTGCTGTTCTGCCAGAACTGCGTGTATGTCTGTCTTGAAAACACCTTTGTTATCTCAAGGACCAGCTGGCCAGAAATAACATCATGCAGCCCAGCAGACTAACACCACCTGCCAAAGGCTGATTTCCAACAAAGCACTGGAAGCCATTCCTGGGAATGGCTGTTGGGGACCAGTGTGAGACTCCAGCAGATCAGTAGGATATATTCATTTGGCAAAGCATTCTGAGTAATGAACACTGAGGGCAAAGTCTGCTTGCAAATAATGGGAGGACACTCACACCTAATCCCCACAAAGTGACTAAGGTCATTAAATGTCTTTTCTGCACATGATTTTTCAAGCTATCCTCATGCACAGCCCGCTTTGCCCAAACACAGAGGGGTAGCTGGTCAATACTTTGTAATCCCTGGGACTAACTGAGCCTTCAAGTCTACCAGAAAAAAAAAATCTATATAAGGGCCTGACCCTGGCAGGATTAGTACCCCATGCTGTCCGAAAACTGCTCTCCCCATGTCAAACATAGAGCTGACTGCAGTTCCCTGAAGGTTTATATGTTCGCTGGTATAATTCTCACAAACAGCTTGTTGGAAAATGTCAGAGACAGGGTGTATAAGGGGTGCCTAACACAAAGAGAAAACACATTCCTCTGAGAGGACTAAGATGCTTTTAGATAGAAATTATGTGCCTAGAAGGTAGTGCCATCCTTATGTGTTCCCTCTGCAACACAGCATGGAAGCTCCGAGAAAAAACAGTGTACAAGTAGGGGCTGGGGGGCAAGAAATAGAAAGACACAGAAAACGAGGCATTTCATCACATTCTGTACTGAGCACTGACTCTGCACATAGCCAGGACAAGAATGAGTTACTGTTTGTTCCGTTAAGGGTTAACTTAAATTAAACTTTCACTTTGAAATTTCAGAGTCAGCAACTTGGAGACTTAAATTGCCTAACTTGGAGATTTAAACTGCCTAACCTTCCCCCGTTTGTTTGACAGCCCTTTCTGGATGATTAATGGAAAGCTATAAACAGCATTTGCATAAGGATATCTATCTCCTTTGCTGGGAAGAAGAGGTTCCAAAACTGGCTTTGTAAGAGGCGTGAACAGCAGATGAGAGTCTTCTAGGTCTGAGCAAGCAAACAG